CACTTACAATCTCTTGTACGATACTATATTAAATTTAGAATATTGATATAATATGGATTGATATATATAATATTGATTTTTACTGTGTTGGGAGACAATATTAATTTTCTCTAATTATTGTCAGCAATGTAGAATTTAATCAGAGAAGAACTGTAAGTTTAACAAGTTTTATAATAACGTCATCTTTACAATTTGTTAAGCTTGCGAGATAAATGAGCAAGCAAAAATTTACAGTAATTAATTTGTAACCAAAATGCTATAACATTATTATTATATCCAAGCTCACTTTTTATTATTTATGTCTCACTTTTGTAATACATTAAATGCCGAGTAAGATATTTTTAAGATCTAAATGAAAAGAGTTAGAGATATATTAATACAGAAGATATTATATACTGGGGATATTTGTTTACAATAAGAATAATATAAAATAAGAGTAATACGAACACTGCTGTAAGACTGGAGAGATAAGGTTATCAAGAAGCTACTGGTAAATTTCATAGGAAGTGTGCTGCGTAACATGATCATTAATAGTTCTTTTCTTTCGTTGACTGATAGTGAAGGCCAGTTCATATCATATATTGCATCTCCTACGCTCATACTCTATCAACATAAATAAAATAATTATCTCTACACAATAATATCTACTGAATTATTTTACTGAATACTTTGTACAAATATATGTATTGTATGTCACGATACATGCATTTTATAAACATTCTTTTATACATGTAGGTATATATATACGTATTTCGTAAAATCGTTTATTATAGGATAGATTCGTAATATGAAAAAGCGGAGTTTCCGTTAAAATAGATAATAATCGCATGTAATCATTAATTTCATTGTAAGCTTAATACTCTCAGGGTGAAATCTATTTAGTAGAAAATTCATTATTTAATCATGCAATTGTTGTGAAAAAATATTTATAAAATTGAATGTTGTCAAGTTGTTATTGAAGCGAATCTTTAAATCTTCTTAGTATGCATAATAAATAAATATTCAACAATAAATTCTGCATGCGGTAATAGAGTAAGATCGTATTAATAGGAAAATACGGTATATAATGATTTGCTTAATTGTAAAAATCAGATTCGATGATTGTGAAATTGTAAGGTATGGGATTTGTAATATGAGGTATTTAGAGTATACTTTTAATTTTTGAAAATTAAGAAGTTTCTTTTACTTTCTGACCGTCTCACTTTATAATAAGCATATAAATTTGATATATTATAATTGTAATGGATTCTAATTTTAGGATTATTGTGTTTAAAAATGACAAAGTTATCGAAAACTTATATAATTA